GAAAAATGCTATAAAGTTACAATGGTTTCAGATTTTTTTTATTGGCACGACGACGACGACGAGAATTAAGAAACTGGTAGTCGAAGCAAAAATTTGAATTTTATGACAGCCATAGAAGCTCATGGTGTGGGTCAAAAAATCCAAAAAAATTCGACAAATGTTTTGTAAAATAGTACTACCGATTGCCATAGGTTTCGATCAAATCTAATTTTTGAGCGTCGTACCCCTTTCACATGGAATGACCCATATATATATATATATATATATATATGTATATATATATATATGTATATGTATGTATATATAAGACCACCCGTTGTCCTGAATATTTTCAAACGAGAGACGTTTATGCGGCAAGATGACTCGTGTACAACGGCAAAGCGACGAACGAACGATGAAATCCCCTCTTCCTTCCCCCTCTTCGAAAACAGAGTGTCTACTCAAATCCGAAAAAAAAGTTCCCTTAGAATTCTCTGATTTTCCAAATAATTTGTTAAAAATTTCAGGTAAAATGAAAATATTTTTAAATGTATTCTCAGCGAGAAATGAACCATCGAATCGACGTCGATGAAGTCTAAATTACATCGATATGAATATTCATTTCTTGCTGGATCTTGCAAATGAATATATTTATTGTGCAAAGTTCTTAATATTTCCCACTCATAAAAGATTCCAGGTAGTAGACACCCTGGAGGATCACAATAGTGACAGTGGTGCGGACGATAAGTACGTTTTAGTAAAAAATTGACATACGTGTAAATATGTAACATGCGTGTACGCGCTATACGACACGTTTTAAGTGTACCTAATTAAATTGTAAGGATATTCGTACAGGAAAAAGACCATCGGGTGTTGAGAAAAAGTCTTGATGCGAACTGAGAGAGAGCATCTCCTATTTTTTATTGCTCTGACTCACGAACATTGGTAGTTGAACGAAAGTAGCAGAAAACGATCAGCTGTCCTCACAGAATCTATCGGTCCGTATTCTGAATTCACTTTTATCGATAAAAGTGCCTTGAATGGCTTCTCAGCTAATCAGATGGTTCTTCAGCCATTTTTATCGATAAGTAGTAAGAATATGGATCTATATGTCTTGTCTTTCTCTTGAAATATAGCGGAAATACGATCGTCAATTGCCAACGGAACGCTAAAAAAAGAACAGTTATAAATTATATACACATGAATGGACTTGAAAATAAAATCTTTTAATTCACAGAATGTACAAAGGGTAACTTCTGCCTGTCACGCACACCGATCGATCTCTGGATTATGTACATTTTATTTGTATTACAAAATAGGAAAACAACATGTATAGTATAGTGTACATGTATAGTGTCTGTACATGTATAGTTGAAGTCCTATTTTAAATTTGTATTTCGCTTTACAATCGATTTATACGGTTCGAATACCGTTTAGCGATTTTACGAGTTTCACTTTCACGTAATGTACAGTTTAAACTTATGAAAATATAACATCGAGAAATATATAGAGAATATGACATACACAGTAAGGAATATAATGTGAATAACATTACGCATCCTAGTGTAACTTATGGCCCGATGTTAAAATAAAACAGAATTGAAAAAAATGCATTATTTGTAACATCATTACAAATTAATTTTTATGTACACGTTGTAATTGTCGTGTTTCTGCAAGTCGGGCTTGTACGGGCGTTTAAAGCTCGGATTGTTAACTGTTAACTATTGTTAACTATTATTAACACGTCTACGTACTGCGGTTCTTTCATATTGTTGTTATTACTACATATTTTATTTGCAATAACGTATACATTACGTTACTATGAATTTTTCTATCTGCATCTGAATCAGGTTTTTCTCGATTCTCATATTGACGTGAGTTTCTGTTGAAATTAGGACCATTCTTGGATGCAGTTGTTCGATCTATCTGCCATCTCCTTAGTGTCAAGTTGTTAATTTTAATAATGTTATCCTTGTTATCGATATTATTGTTTTGTACAGCCAACAGTTTGGTATTTCCGTTTATGTGAGTCACTTGACTTTTTGACCAACATCCATAGTGTCTCCTAGCCATTTCTATTCTTTATCCGGTCTTGGAGTAGAAATAGTGAATGTTTTGTGCACAATCATTGCAAAGTTGCGTTACAACTGCGACAGATAAAGGGAAGATTTTTATAAATTGTTGCCTTGCTATATCAAAAGAATTCACATTACCCTGTAATGTTACCACTTTTTTAAAATTCTATATGCATATTACACGATATGAGTTCAGCATCCAGATCAATCCTCTTCTTCTTCTTTTATTTTAACATGATATTTCGATTTTAAATCTGGCGACGCCTTGGACGATTTCTTGCTTTTTTTTGGTTTTCTAGATACATGGTCAGGATCGGAGATATTTGAGGAAACATCCGACTCTACTGCATTGTACTTCGTATGCCTGGCCTGCTCTCCATCTTTTACATCTTCATCATTGTATTTGTTCGTTTTGGAAATATTATTGATTATCTTATTTTCACTTTTAATTCTAAACTCAGATTCCGAATCTGTGTTTCTTGACGTTTTCTGGCGTTTCTTTGATTTCTTCTTTTTCTCTTTATCGGAATCTTCTGTTTTTATATATACGTCTGTTTCCATATGCTCATCTAAATTTGGTGTGTTTATAACCTCGTAACTGGATGGCTTGTGATTTTTCAAACTTTTGCCGATTATTTTGTCAATAATTGGATCAGGTTTTTCCTCTTTAATTTTAACAATGTGATCTTCTGGTTCCGAATCAGACATTACCACAATCATTTTCTTACTCTTTTTACGTTTTTTGTTATCCTGTTGTTCTTCTACTTTACGTTTTTTGTTATCCTGTTGTTCTTCTTCTTTACGTTTTTTATTATCCTGTTGTTCCTCTTTTGTGCATTTTATGTGATGTCCAATATTTGCGGTGTCATTAATTATATTTTCCTCATTCACTGTCATATGCATCGATTCTAAGTCAGATTCTCTAGATTTTTTTGAATGTTTCTTTTTCTTTTTCCTCTCTGGCTCGTAAGTTGAAGTGTCTGTTTCAGAATATTCCCTTTTCTTTCTCTTACGTGACTCTGTATATTCATTTAAATTCGAATTATTACATGTGTCCGTATCATCATTATTAATTTGCGATTGATAGCTTGATTCAATATTGTCCTCTGTATGTGCCTCTGGGTCGGGATTTTCAATTTTTATTTTGACATTTTCTGTGTTAAAAACAACACTGTCCTTCGATATAGTAATATTTAATCCATTAGTGGTCCCCTCAATGCCATTCGTATTAAGTTTAACATTGGTGCTTGCATTATCTATATTATTAAATGTTTCTGGCAGTCTGCAGCCTTGCAAATAATCGGTATTTAAAGTGGCACAGATGGAGGGAAGTTTGGTACTTCTGTCTATATGAGTCACACAACATTTTACTTCCTGACCAATTTCCACAGTGTTACCTAGCCATTCCTCTTCCTCGTTATCTGGTTTTGGAATAGTAACGGTGAATACTTTGTGTATCAGTAATACAATATGATCCAATCCCTTTTTGTTCACTATGCCTATAAATAAAGTGAATGAAAAGACAATAAATCTATACTTAGCGATAATTAAAAAAATTGAAATGTAACTTATATACCTTTTAGAGAACATCCAACTTTTGGGCAGAACAGATAAAAGTCTGCTTCGATGTCAACATGAATGAAACAGCTGTCGTAGAATATCCTTCCAAGATTACTCAGTAATTTAGGTTTCTTGTATGATAGTAGAAATCCTTTCAGTCTAAAATAAAACATTGGATCTTATTAAGAATACTACTAGAATAGTACTATTGCGAATATATTCTTATTTTTTATATCTGAAATATCATATGAGTATGAAACATAAATATGATAAAAGTAATAACAAAAACTTTTATTATAGCAATTGTGTTTTCAATTCTTCTTTTGTTTCCAAATTTCTAAATTGTACGTTAAAATTTAATTAACATTTGGAAACGAATAATGAAGCATAATAAATGTAAGAGATTGTGGCCTATATTTTGAACTTTCTTTTATCCATAAAAATACCTTAAATGTGGTTTCTCAACCAATCAAGTAGTTCCTAAGCCACTTTTAAAGATACTTTTAATCGAAAGAAAGTTCAGGAAACTGGCCTATAACTTAAGTATATTATAAAATATATGCGAGACAAATGTATTTATGTATATCACGTACTCTGTATCGTAAGTATTTATCATAGACATCAGAATCTCATTTAAAGCTCGCTGCAGGTCTTTTAAATGGAATGGATGTAACGCAAGATGCTTCTTGGTATTCTTGAAATGCACACAAGAATCATCGGCTTCCAAAAGTCCATGCAGCTCCAGCATAGTCCACATTATTTTCTGATTAGTTTTAAAATTCATTTTACTTCGTATCCAGACAGAATTACCGAAAAAACATGCACTTTTTACAAACGACTAAATGTTTCGATGAGCGCGAAACCGAGTTAGGTTAAGTCGAAATGTAAGGGAGAATTCACACTTTAACAGAAAAGCAGAAAAACAGCAGCCAATCAGAACTCGCGCTGGTAGTAAGTAGTAGGGGTTTGAAGAACATCGATATTCGCTCATTGAGGGTAGTATTACATTTAGAAAAATGTTAGGAATTTTAGGAATTCTCTATCCGACAACCAATTGGCGGATCCGACAAACCTACGGCGCATCCTTAATGAACGAACATGCTTAAGACATACTGCGCATATGAGACATTTTTCTGTTCCTTTTTGTTCTCACTTCCTGGAAAGGAAGTTCCCGGCACTTGGCGAGAGTCCGTGAGGGTTGTTGCAGCTATATGTTGGGTCGAGAGTTTCAACGCCTCGCAGAGAAGTTCTAGAAAGATTACAAAATGGTAAGAAATTTGGATTTTCTGTATGTAAACATTGCACTTGAACCGCCGTGATTTGCTCTGTTTTTTATTTAACGCTTGCTTAAAAATATTTCGATATAAAAGTGATAGTTTTCTTTTTCGACCACGTGTTACACTTTAACCCACCTTGCAACATCTAGGCCCGTATTCTGAACGTTCTTTTATTGTTAAAATTGCTTCTAAAAGCTGCATTAGAAACCGTCTGATTGGCTGGAAAATCACATTTGAGACATCTTTATTGATAAAAGAAAGTTCAGAGTAGCAGACCTGATACATTTCGATTTTAATTTATTATTCTTGACTAAATTTCGAAACCTAAGAACCCTACTTGGACAGACTTACTCTATAGCTGTCTGAAACAAGGAAACAAAAGGAATAATGGTTGTGTAAATACTCAAAGAGAACATAGCTTGTACTACAATGCATTGTCTATACTTAAATAAAATATTTGATATTTCGTGGAAAAGAAAAAATAAAATAAAAATATTGAGATGATTAAATACATAAGATGATAGAATGTAGCTATAAAAAAATAGATTTATTCAATATAATATATAGCTGATTATATATATATATATATAATACATATATATGTGTGAATATATATATATGAATACATACATATATGTGTACACACACATACACACACACACACATGTATATATATATATATATATATATTCTAATTTATATATATTCCTTTCCTTAGTCCTTATCAACAGCACGACCACTTATAACAGTCTATACTGACAAAAATGAAGTATCAGGTGACACTATTTCCCTGCCTTCTATTTTTAAAGCTCCAATTCGACCTGATATTGTGAACTTTGTTCACCAACAAGTGTCCAAGAACAGTAGACAACCTTATTGTGTCTCTAAAGAAGCTGGTACGTATTCAACAGCATATATAATCTCAGATTGTGAATTCATTTATAAGACAAATCGAATGTAATATCTTTAAATCGTATGATGATAATATGGTCCGTGTTTCTGAATGAACAGTGATTAGTCCTTATAACCTACAACTGATGATTGATTCTAATAACATTTGATTATCTATGCGCTATGTTGACTATAAAATTACATATAGCTTTATTTCCTAGGCCATCAAACTTCTGCTGAGTCATGGGGCACTGGACGTGCCGTAGCACGTATACCTCGTGTACGTGGAGGTGGTACTCATCGTTCTGGACAGGGTGCTTTTGGAAACATGTGTAGAGGTGGACACATGTATGCGCCTACCAAAACGTGGCGTCGTTGGCACCGTTGTATCAACATCAATCAGAAGCGTTATGCCCTTGTCTCTGCCATTGCTGCTTCTGGTGTACCTGCACTTGTTCAATCTAAAGGTACGTTTCTTTGAAAAATGATATTTTATATTTTTGTCTTGAACATATATTTTGGTCTTCTGTTTAAATAATGATAATCTTTCGATCCATGTTACTGATTTGCATCGATTAGTTTTCTAATAAATTGACTTGTAATTTTATGTAGTTATCGTAAATCTAATATATATATATTAATATATTGCTTTTTTGTATGCATTACAGGACACATGATTCAAGAGGTTCCTGAATTTCCTTTAGTTGTTTCTGATAAAATTGAGACATACGATAAAACGAAGCAAGCAGTAATTTTCTTGCGACGTATTAAGGCGTGGAATGATGTCGAGAAGGTAAATTAATAATTAATGTCAAATTTATGTTTATGGAGTGTGCACCAATAAATGTCCGCATCTTTGCCAAGAACTTTAGCTGGGATGCTCCTAACAGGTGCTAGAGAAAAATGGTATTCAGGCGTTCTTGTCTAAGTGATTTATTCACTAGAAAGGGGTATGACTTGCCACACAATTTGTTCCAACTTAAATGCATTTTTTTTTTAAACTCTAGCTATTCATATTACAAAGGTGTCATTTATTACCCATTTTAGGTATATAAATCCCAAAGATTCCGCGCAGGAAAAGGTAAAATGCGCAATCGCCGACGTATTCAGCGACGTGGACCACTGATTGTCTACGGAAAGGACGAAGTAAGTGATTTTCTTGCAAAGTACGAATTTGATTGGCAAAGTAGAATTATCACTTACGAATATAATTGTATAAATCTTGTTTCTAGGGAATGTGTAAAGCATTTCGCAACATACCTGGTGTCAATCTGATGAACGTCAACAAAATGAACCTTTTGAAAATGGCACCTGGTGGCCATGTTGGCCGTTTCGTTATCTGGACGAAATCGGCATTCGAACAACTAGACGATTTGTATGGTACCTGGCGCAAGGAATCTCAATTTAAGAAGGAATATAATCTGCCATTTCCCAAGATGGCCAATACAGATTTGTCCAGACTTCTAAAATCTGAAGAAATTCGTAAAGTTCTGAGAGTTCCTAGGTAAATATGCGAATGATATACATATATATATATATTTATGTATGTATATATAGACAATAGAATCTCTTAATCATGATGATATTAATTTGGTCCGTGTTGCTGAATAATGATTATATCTTATAACCATTTAGCTGATACGTAATTAATCTTGATTTCACATGATTATCCATGATATATGTTGTACTTAAGAAAAAATGATGTAAATGTAGGAAGAAGGTGGTACGTAAAGTTAAAAAACTTAACCCGTTGACCAACACTCGAGCACTGTTGCGTCTTAATCCGTACGCGGCTGTCTTGAAACGCGCTGCAATTTTAACATCACAAAAACATCAGAATGAAAAGGATATTCTTTTGGCGGAGATGCGAGGCGTGAGTACATCTTACTAGTTGTGTTCTCGAACAATTAACTTTTAAATGTAATGTTAAATTTTAAATATTGTCACTATTTAATTTGTTTTCAGATTGATTTACCGAAAAGTTCACCGGTTGTAAAGACCAAGAAGCTTCAGGAAAGAAGGAAGCAACAACTTCTAGCTGCTAAAGCAGCTAAACCAAAAAAATTGAAATAAATAAATTCATGTGTATGAATGTATTTTACGGTTCGAATAATTTATATTTCCAATTCAATTAACTTTATATTATAAAATCTATAATAAAATTTTTTCTAGTTACTGCTGTAGCAGAGCAATTGTTTTTCTGTCTCCTGCTTTTCTATCGAGATATGAATTCCCCGTAAAACGTTCGGAAATTATCGACACACGTGGTCTGTTCTTTCTAGCCATATTGTGATGCGTTCGGAAATATTATTCGGGTGCACCCGCTACCGTTGGAGTAAGAGATACTAGAATGAGATAAGAAGAAAGGAAGAGTCCGGGCGACGTTTTCGAACGTATCCCTGCTGGAACCGGTGCAACAACTTAGAACGAGACAAAATATATTTCTCGCTCCAAAGTCAGCGACACACGATGTTTGTTTTCGTGTTAAATTGTTCGCTGGATGGAAATACTGCGTTTTGATTGGTGAATTCATCATCCATTTTCGGAAGTGCACTAATCAGAATGCAGTATTTCTATCCAGCCCGAAACAAGCATCGTGTGCCGCTAGTTTAACTAATTGCGGTAGCTAAAAAGAACGGACTAACGTACGAAGGTACACAGTACCCCCGCTACTTTCCCCATTGAAATCACGAAGCACACCGCGAATGAAATTCCCAAACCCAACCTAGAACACTTCGAGACACCATCGAACAAGGTTGCCCGTAGTTGCGATGTCGAAGAAGGCGAGAGTTTTTGATGTACAGGAGATGATGCGGAATATCAGACAGACTCTCCAAAAGAATAAAGCGGTTGCGCTTCAACAGCACGAGGAACAACCTGCTGACGAGAGTGCGGTATCCAAGAAGAACGACAGCAAAGAGAGCGACGACGAAGGTGACTTGATTGGACCACCGATACCACTGTCGCTGCTTACCAATTCAGACGCAAAAACTTCGGGTGCAGATGAGAAAGGAGAAAAAAATGCCGAGAGCGACGACGACGACGATAACAACGAGGATGACGAGTCGTCCGATGATGAGTCGTCGAACAAGATCCCGTGCACACACGAAGTGACGATGACACACGGCACAAAAGCTGTCACCGCCATCGCCGCGGATCCCTCCGGTGCTCGGCTGGCTTCCGGATCCATCGACTACGACGTTTGCTTCTGGGACTTCGCTGGTATGGACTCGTCCATGAGAAGTTTCCGGACCCTGCAGCCCTGCGAGAACCATCCCATCAAGTGCCTGCAATATTCAACGACCGGCGACATGATACTGGTGATATCCGGAGCGGCGCAAGCTAAGGTCCTCGACCGGGACGGCTTCGAGAAGTGCGAGACAGTCAAGGGTGACCAATATCTCATAGACATGTCACGCACCAAAGGTCACACTGCCAGCCTGAACAGCGGCAGTTGGCATCCGTCTTCAAAAGAACAGTATCTCACCTGCTCTCAGGACAGCACCTGTCGGATATGGGACCTGAACAGTCCGCGCTGTCACAAGAGCTTGATTAGATGTAGGGCGCAGAATGGCGTGAAGACTGTGCCGACCGCTTGTGCATACAGCCGAGATGGTTCCGTGGTCGCGTGCGGATGCATAGATGGCTCGATTCAGATGTGGGATCAGAGGAGGAACTTCGTGACCCCTTCGTTGGTCTCGCGTGGCGCCCACGCTCAGCACAGCGAGATATCCAGCCTGAGTTTCTCTTACGTCAAGCAGATGCTGGCCAGCCGCGCCTGCGACGATACTCTGAAACTTTGGGACCTGCGGACGTTTAAGTCACCGGTCTTCGTGGCGAAAGACCTGTTCTCGCGTTACAACACCACCGACTGCATGTTCAGTCCGAACGACAGGATGGTAGTCACGGGAGAGTCGTTGAACAAGGGAGCGCGGAATGGTAGGATATTGTTCTACAACAGCGCCACGTTCGACCTGGTCAGTCAGATCCCTGTGACGGGCTCGCACGTGATCAAGACTCTGTGGCATCCGAAGCTGAATCAAGTGTTCGTTGGCTGCGGCAACGGCATCGTGAAAGTCTACTACGATCCTAAGAAGAGCATGAGAGGCGCCAAACTGTGCGTCGTCAAGACACACACTAAGCAGAAGCACATCGAGATAATGTCCACACAGCAAATCATAACACCGCATGCGCTTCCTCTGTTCCGTCAGGACAGACCCAAGTCGGTCCGCAAGCAGATGGAGAAGGACAGGCTAGATCCCCTCAAGTCGAGGCGACCTGACCTGCCCATCACTTCCGGCCAAGGTGGCAGAGTGGCGTCCTCAGGAGGGACTCTCAGTTCTTATGTCATACGAAATCTCGGTCTGAGCAAGAGGATAGAAGACGACCAGGATCCTAGGGAAGCCATTCTCAAGTATGCCAAGATTGCGGAAGAGGAACCCTATTGGATCCGACCGGCGTATGAGAGAACACAGCCAAAGACTATCTTTCAAACCGACGATCAAGAGAGCGGTCCGAGTAACAAAAGACAGAAACGATGAACTTATATTTATTTTGTACATATTGCCTTCAAGTTGGATTTAATTATTTATACACACAGTGCGTACATTACTACTTAAAACGTAAAATAATCTTGTTGCAATAAAGAAAGTTGATTTCTCTGAGTTTGGTAAAGTCACGTAATATCCAAATAGCTGTTGTATAATGTAAATTTTGCGAAGTATTTATAGTATAAAATAGTAAGGTGAACTTAGTATTATGTCGAGATTATTGAGCTTTTAGAGCGCTTTTAAAATCATCGATGTTTGAAAAACCGATTCATGCTCATTGACGATGATATTACATCTAGAGAAAATATTAGGAACTCTAGGAATTCTCTGTCTGATAACTAATCGGCATATTTGCGACAAACTCGTACGACGCATCCTCAATGAGCGAACATCGATGCTTGGAAAAATATCGATAATTTTACCCGTTCCTGTTCTAATGGCTCCTGTCCACAGGACGCTTGCCGCGTGGTGGAAGTTCGCGCGATAGCCAATAAATTTCTAGTTCTTGCCGAAAAACGGCATGTTGATTGGCTACCACACCAACGCACGGCAAGCATTGTCGCGTCCTGGACAGAAGCCACAATCTATAATCTGATACCGGCTAAGACGTATCATAAGAATTAGCCAACAAACGAACGTACAGGACTGTTCAACCAATTACAAAGCGTACATAAGCTGTGATTATAGTTAAGCATCACAGTATGCATGCTTTATGATTGGTTGAACAGTTTTCTATACGTCCGTTTATTGGCTAATTCGTACGGTACACCTTAAGCCCGTATCAAACTACGGATTAGAGGTCGAGATTAAATTAAAATTTGACCAATCAGTGCGAAGTTCATTAAATTCATTAAATTTGAATTCAGTTAACTTTGCACTGATTGGCCAAATTCAATTCAATCACTATCTCCAATCCAATAATCTGATACGGGCTTTATGGTTACGGTTACGGCAATCCATGTGTGAAGACCTTTGATCGGACCGAATTTGCGTTGTACCGAAATTATTGGAAGTTCAAGACACTCTTGTTATTTTTAATTATAAGTGAGAGTAATGTTAATTCTAGAAGTTATTTTATTAACTTGCGTATGAGTAAGGTACATTAAACATGGCAAAGTCAGTGTTTAAAAACCGCTCTTTCAATGAAAGTCCTACTTATGCCACTCCTGTTCTCGAGCCGAGTTTAAGTAGCTCTCCAGGTAAGAATATCTTCTTTTCATTGTTCTATTTCATTATCTATTTAGGGTCTTAGCAAAACAGCTGAATTATTGCTGAACTTCAAGACAATTCTTTTCATCTTATGTATCCTTTTTTTTAAGGTAGCTGGTACGTACATTTATTAGGAATTTTTCCAAATTTTAACAATATATTAATTGAAACCTGATCTGTACGTATGCAAAATTAAAAAAAAAGATTGACCATGTCGAAGCTGAGATAATTGAAATAAAAACATTATATATATATATATATTACAGACACGAAAACGGCTTTCGATATCTTGTTTTTAATTCTAGCAACTAACTGCTCTTCCGGTTTTAATGAAAAACTAGAAGACGATAAGAGAGAGAGAGAGAGAGAGAGATTTGTATAAATATTATAAAAATATTACAAGATCCTCAGCTGTCTAGTTCTCCAGAAATTGATATGATAAATGCGCAATTTCTGATGAGAGTTGAAACATATGACAGCTAACCTATAAAGATTTGGTAGATATTGTACGATTTATATTCGTTATATTATT